ACTGCGAAATTGGGAAACTCCATGTACTCTTTGAGGTTCACGCGTCAAAGGCTCACAGCGACCTCGTTGCTCGAAACATGGAAATTGGGGAACTCCACGTACTCCAGGTTCATCGCGCCCCCGTGCCCCGCGCCTCCCCCGACAGGCAGCTGGTGTTGTACCTGATTGCCCTGGGGAGGGTCGTCGAAGAAATTCAACGTGTCCCCCTGCCGAGACGCACCAGCGGTTGCGGTGGCGGCAATCGAGAGGTAGGACAGGTAACAGTGAAGGGCACAATAACGACGCTCAAAAGTGGGGGGGTTGGGTTTCCAGTGACGAGGCGGAGATGGAGCATGCATGCACACATCTCGTAGATATCGTGGGTGTTTTTCAACTCCGAGGCTCCCGCTACCCACATGTTGTACTTGCGCTTCGGGTTGACTGGGACAAACAAAACCTAGACTATTCCTCGCAAACCTCCGTACGAACAAAGGCGGGGGAACTTGAGACCTCCCCCTCCGCGCGCCCCACCTGCCATACACTGCTTGCTGACGGCCCGCTTACAAAGAAACAGGTCGTATGCATATCTACTGCAGCAGCGGCGGCATCACGTACTGCGAAGAAAAGATCATGGCGGCGAGAACAAAAGAGGCTGCTTCAAAAAAAGTTGCATGATTCATTCACCAACAGGTTACCACACTCGTTGCTGGAGTTTTAGAACAGCCTTGGCACTTGTTTCGTTTTTTCCGCTGATGGTCCGTCTCGTTCACGACAAGTTGTCACGGCAGCAGAGTGTCCGTTCGCTTAAATACGTAAATGAAAGCACTCCGGAAGGAGCGCGGGTTCATAGTAGCTGCTTTGGTCAACACGCGCAGTTCTCTTCTGTTGCTACCGTTTCTGCCTCAAGTTCGGAGAGTAGCGTAGCGTCCCCAATGATACCCCCTCACGGCCCCCAGATCATGGCCTAAAGAAGCATGTTGTGTTTTCAACCGACGTCGTTTCATCGGTCACCCGGTTGGCGCGGTCGATGCCAATAATAAACACATACACACAACACTGTCTAACCCTCAAGGCGGGAGGTGACTACACTCCCAGCAGCATACCATGGGCACGGAGAAACTCCGACGGGTTTAGTCCTTTGGTTATCATGTCGGCTTCTTGAAGCGACGTCCACATGCACGTTACGTCTACAATCCCATTGGCTACCAGCAACCTTACGTGGTGGATCTTTACATCAATGTGCTTGGTTTTGGGAGTAACACGAAAGCTGGGAGTCAATTTTAGAGCGCCCGAGTTGTCCTCCCACACTACGGCCTCTTCCTGCGTCGATTTATGGTGTTCAGCAAGTGGCGGAAGTACTTGATAATGTTGCACCCCTTGGGCAAAGCCACGAACTCTGCTTCGAGCCAAGAGGTCGCCACCACCGTCTGCTTGGACGACGCCCAATCCACCAGTCCACCGGCCAAGTTCAGCACGACTCCCGTGGTAGAGTAGCCCATTTTTGTGCCTTCGGCAAAACCTGTGGCAAAGGTATGTGGTGCCCTCCGTTGACAATACCTCGTCGTCCAAGACGGACGTCGGTCCTGCCTCAGACGGGGATGGGACGCGCGTCAGCCGTGCCGAACTTGTCTAACACGGCGTTGGCAAACGCTTCCTGTTCCAAAAGAATCGCCCCTGCGGTCTTGTCTCGCTTGATTGCCATCCCAAGAAGGAATCGAGTTCTTCCCATGCCCAACGCTTCGAAACGCTCATTCAGCTGATCGACTATGCTCAGCACTTTGTTGTCGCTCTCCCCGGTCAGAAGAATATCATCAACATTAATGTGAAGCAGTATCTCCGTCGCCCTCAATGAATTCGATCTCTTAGAAAAAACCGTCCAGACTGTCCCATCAACCCATCAACCCTTGGAGGAAAGGCACAAACCGTAAAGCCGCGCCTTCGGTTTCCAGGCAGCCTTGCATGAGAATGCTTCCGGAGGAATGACGTGCACAGCTTCCACCCCCGATCGCATCCTCGCATGAAAAGACGCCATCCTGATGTCGGCTTGCGTAACCATCAAATGGGCAGATTGGAGTGACGCTACGGGCACAGTCTTGTCAGTCCCTGTCTCAGCTTCGTGGAAACCTTGTACTAGAAATCAGGGTTTCTGTCGAACGGCGACTTAGTTGTTCGTCGACTCACATCTAAGTATCACGACGGGATAATTTTAGTGTCGGGTGGAGGATCGTTGCTACTGGATCAACGGGACAGATATTCTCGGAAGGATCCCCAGCATATGCCGGAGAAATATCAATCGCTGATCGACCACGAGTGTTTTTGAGCAGGTCAATCCTCCCCCCGATACTAAAATTATCCCGTCAAAATACATACCTGGTTTGTAAGTGGAAGCACAACGAAGCCGGAATCGCCGCCGTTCTCAATAAAAGCTTCGGTCTGGTGTTCGAGACAACGAACAAATATCTGTTCATGCCTAAGGTAACTGGCATTGCCGATGATGCTCTTGCACCGATGTGATCCTAGGGCAAGATAGCGCTGATCACAGCGATGACAACCCTGGGGGTTAACTCCGAGTACGTGGCTTAAAAACTAGACGGACTCCGGCATTAGCTTTAATTGAGAAGCACGATGACCAATGGCACGCGATGGATGGTGTTCGAGTGGTTATTGTGCTGAATAGTCATCGCTGCCTGGTAGCCCAGTGGTCATCGTGCTTTTCAATAAGTACCATTATTTTCGGGAATTTCTGTCGTCGCGTTCGGTTTGCTAAAGCTGAAGCGGTTCGCTGCTGAGACCGTAGCTGCGAGAGAGGGTATGACAACCACCCCGATGCAACCAGCCAAGCATTTGTGCCACATCGTCAACTCCTATTATTTCATCGTTTGCGGAGCGAAGAATTTCTTACTCATTTGAGACGAAAACACATCGCGCGGCCCCTCAATTTCAACGGGAGCAGGCTTAAAACAATGGCAGAAACTCAATTCGGACCGAAGGGCTGGACATCTGAGCGCCTCGGCAACCTTGCGGGCAAGACCCACCTAATCACCGGGGCCAATGCCGGTGTAGGATTTCAGGCATCCCGAACCCTTCTGTCGAAGGGCGCAAAGGTGGTGATGTTGAACCGCAGCGTCGAGAAACCGGCTGCCGCGGTCGAAGACCTGAAAGAGGAAGGGCGGGTGCTGATGTTAGCTTTGTCCGCATGGACCCGGCCGAGCTTGCGAGCGTCCACGAGGCGGCGGCAGAGGTGTTGGAGACCGTTCCACAGATCGATACGCTTATCTGTAACGCCGCCATTGCGCAAGTACCGTCGCAGAAGCTCACCAAGGATGGCTTCGAAAGCCAGCTTGGCACCAACCATTACGGCTATTTCGTCCTGTGCGGAGTGCTCTTCGATCGCATCGAAGAGTCGAAAGGCCGGGCCGTTGTCATGGCCAGCCTTGGCTACAAAATGGGGATACGGACGATCCAGTTCGACGACATGAAGTGGGATAAGAACTATAGCGCCAACCCCGTCTACAGCCAAAGCAAGCTGGCGCAGATGATGTTTGCCTATGAACTCCAAGACCGGGTCAAGCAAACTAGCAAGAATATCGAGGTCTACGTCTGCCACCCCGGGGCGTCGGTCACATCTCTCATCACCACCAGCGACGGCCTTGTCACAAGGAACGAGTTCTACCTCATGTCCCTATCTCCGATGGTTCAATCGGCTGACGAAGGCGCTTATCCAGAAGTGATGTGTGCCACCAAAAACGGCTTGGAACAGCGCGCCCTTTATGGTCCCACAGGCCGCATGGAGTGGGTCGGCGCAGTAGGGAAAGGCACGCTGGAAGCCTTCGCCTACGACAACGCTGTGATGGCAAAACTGTGGAGCCGATCAGAGAAGGAAACGGGGTTCAGTTGGAGCTTGTGAGTGAGCGAGTAGCGTGCGAAGCGTCATTTACCCGGCACCCGATACTGATCTGTGGTGACCCTGGGTATCACATGGCGGACTCTCGTTGTGTAACTAGATGCAAGGGTTTTGATGCCAACTTTATTGTTTGTCTTTAGGCCTCTGACGAAGCTACCAACACGAAATTTCCTCGATTAGGATTTCGCCGGCAAGTGGAACGACCGGCGTTCTGTTTCTGGTGCGGCGATGGTGTGTGCTGGTGCTTATGTGATGCATGTGATACTACCGTAGTCTAGGACGCAGGAGAGCGTCACTCTGTCGTCGACGGAGGCGCAACGTAGCCATTTTGGATAGGTTGCTGGAGATTATCGTACCAGCGTGTATCTAGGGGAGAATTGATGCTTGTCGGGAGCCGTGTCTATCATTCTGTCAGTTTTTTTCGTCATTTTTCCTGCCTGCTTTCGTTTCTGGTTGCAGGCCACCTGTCATTGTTACAGTATCTTGTTTTGAGGGACATGCGGCCTTGTTTCAGCGGAGGGGCCGTACTTGTTGTACCGAAACAGTTTTCTGGCAGCCCGTTCGTGTTCTCTTTGTTTTTTCCGGTGTCGCTGCTGGACTGCAACAAATTCCTGTTCCTGGCAAGGGGATTCTAGTTGCAGTAGCAGCACAGTGGATAAGGAGTTTTTCATGTGGCTTTTACGGCGTATGCAATCGATTGTTTCTACGCTGGTACCGACCGAAGATCGGCACACCCGTGTGGAAATGGCTGACAGATTATCACGTTTTGTGTTGACATTTGAGAAGTGTGCAAATGCGTGTTGTTTTGCCATTTTCGATTTGAGTTTTTGCATTAATTCGTGATGAATGCCGCAGCAAGATAGCATTGTATTTTGGTTCATGTGGAGGAATCGGTATTTTTATGAAGGTTTTGTCTGACGTTGTCTGACGTTGTCTGACGTTGTCTGACGTTGTCTGACACGTTGGGCTTTCTACTTCATCGGTTTGCTGGGTTTGCTTTTTATTGTAACCTGGTATGTATATCATTTCGATGTTTGTCGTGCTTCGTCACATCTTCATCTCAGGGCAGATAATGTTTTCTCACGCTTCGTGCACGTAGGAGGCTCGTCGGTGCATTACCGCGCATCCTCGAGGACGACCAGACACCCGCGGCGTCTTCAGCACTTACTTGCGATTCGAATTTCTTGTTAGCTGTTATTACGTCATTCTCGCAACTTTTGGTCCCTCGATAAAGAGGTAGACACGAGAGGGACAACTTGAACCACCTTTGAATGAGTTGTGCATTTACCACTATTGGTGAAATTCTTCAAATTCTTTATTGATCGGTCACGCCTTGTACTCTTGTTCATTTTTTCAGAAAGTTGATGGCGAGCAGACTAATAATCAACACACAAGTGGTGGGCGGGTGACGACGGTACGGACGTTCGTCCCCACGGCGCACGTACTCAATCAACTGATATATCTCCGAAATGGGGTAGTTTGCCAAGGCGTGGCTGTCAGTAGTGGTCACGACCGCCGTAAAGAGCTTTACGAGGAAGCCGTATTCCCGGTCTGGAATCTCTAGTCTAGGTTGTGGCTTCAGTTAGCAGGCTAATGGCTTTCGCAATCTTTCGAAAAACTGAAGAAAATGATCAGGCTTGGACACAATGAATGCTGAACGCTGGGTGGTATCACAGCGTGTCCAACAAAATATTTGCACCTATGGGAAATCCATCTAGAGGGTACACACGGAAGTATTTGCCGCGCGCACGTCGACGACGCTACATTAATTAATATGTTATTGCTGCACTGCACTTAGTGTAGAGGGTAGACAAAATGACTCAATTCGTTGACGGCGTCGTCATTGAGTTCCTAAGGATGAATGTCGTCTTTCCCATCAAACGGCCGCTCCGGAAATGTGAGGCTGTTTCATGGACTAGTCTACACACGCACACCATTACAAGAAGTAGAGTATCAAATGTAGCATTAGCTCCGTCAACGCCGTCCCTGTTGGACTATTAGATACATTAATCGTAGCAGCATTTTCTCCACTATTGATTGATACTTCAAGTACATACATGCAGGTTTGTGTGGTTGTGTACTGATACAGCTATCACTACACGGTGGTAGCACATGTGGGCCTTGACACGGACTAAAAAGTTGTTCTTCGTAGTCTACGGCCGTAGTAAAGTCTTCCCCACTCGATGTCGCAGTATGTACGGCGGTGTAGGGGTGATCGAAGTACACCGCATACAGCGCGCAGCGCAGTGCGGCGCAATAGCTTTGATTCCTTATTATTCGATTGTTTGATTGGGCCCACTGACTTCTCCCTTCTTCCCCTCGCTCCTCGACAAGCTTTTGCTTAGACATGGGTTGTAGTGAAGGGGGGGGTCTTTCTGGCGAGCAGGGCTAGACTCACCCTCAAGGGATGACCGAAACCTTCTTGCTGCTGCGCATATCCGCCGCGAGGCATGCGCGTGGTGGTGTAGTTGGGTCGG